GTCGGCGCGTGAGGCTGGGGCCTGGGTGCGGGGTGAGCACGTCTGAGCACATGTGTCCATAATCGGGCTTGTAGGAAGCCGTGGACGCGTGAGTGCAAGCATGTGCATGCACGTTCTGACACGCAGGAAAATCTGCCGAGGCCCGAGGTCACGTGGCCACAAGTACTCACGCATGCGTCTGAGCATGCGCATAAGCAGGCCGGTATGTGCATGTGTCCTTGCATGTGCAAGCATGTGTGTGCAATCAGGCCATGTACATCCTGGCCCCCAAGGCACCGGTGGTCCGGGGCCTGTGCACCACTATGCCTGGGCAGAGTGCACACACACCTGCCCGTGGGTGTGTGTGCAGGGTCACACGGGTGTACGTGCCCTCCTGCAGGTGCCAGGAGTGTGGCTGGGAGTGGGTGTGCAGGGCTCCACAGGCAGGGGTCCCGCACACAGAAGCCAGGATGTAGGTTATGTGTACCTGTCTGTGCGCACAGCAGGATGTGCCAGAGGTGGGCGTCCCGGTGGTCTTCCAGACCCCGGCTCTCACCTGTTCCCAGAGTGCTCCTCTCTGCAGCCACCCCTCAGGTATGCTTGGCTTCCCCACCACCCCAAACCCGGGACCTTCACATCTCTCCTGGCTGCCTGTTCCTGCAGGGGTGGCTCTGTCCCTCAGAAAACAGTTAAACCTGCTGGGTCCTTCCAACCCACCAGTCCCAGCCCTGCCTTCAGAGCCCAGGGCGAGAATATGCCCAGAACCCTGGCCTCTGGAGCACTGGGGTCTATGGCTATCCCTCTCTCTTACCCCATCTCCCTGTTTCTGGGATCTCCCACCATACTGTTTCTCTCCCTCTCCCTGGCTCTGTCAGCCTCTCTCCCTGGGTCTGTTTCTGCTTCTCTGCCTCTATCCACCAGTCTCTCTTGGGCTCCGTGCCTGTCACCTCACCATTCATCCGTTCCGCCTCCCCCGATCTCTAGCTTCACTCCCTGCCTGTCACTGCGCCCCACCCTCTCCATCTCCCTCGCTCTACAGCCTATGACCTCGTCTTCTCCCTAACCAGAATCTTCACTCACTCTCCGCTTCATTTGGTTTCATCTTTCAACTTTAGTTCTGGTGTCTTTGGTCACAAAGATGCTTATAATTATGCCGTGGTCAAAACGGTCTGTTTTTCTTCATGCCATCCACATGTGTGCCTTGTCTAAGCGGGCCTTTGTATCCCCAGGGTCACAGACACACTCCTCTAGGTTTCCTCAGCACCTCTGTGTATGGTGTGAGGTAGGGATTGCATTTTCCTGAGGGATGACCAGTTACCACAGTGCAAGGTACTGTGTCCTCGGCCCACTGATCTGAAACGGCACTTGTGTCTTTACTAAATTCTGACACTTCTCACTGCCTATCCCATTCTCTTCCCGTTTGTACTGATCTTCCTCATTGCTTCATGTTTCTATTTCAACCTCCCTGTGTCCCTGTCTCAAAACTTGTCTCCCAGGACCTCTGTCTGTTGTCTCTACTCTTGCATCCTTGTTTCTTGCTTCCTCTGCTTCAGTCTCCCCTCCTGCCCAGCCCACTTGGCCCCACACCTTGGATGAGCTCACGCAGGGCAGCGTAGCGCCGGTTACGCAGGCGGGTGCGCAGGGTGCGGGGTCGGGCGCTGCCCTGCCGGGCCACCTCGGCACAGTAGAAGTCTGCCCGATGGTCACCGCGCAAGTGGCCAAAGCAGGCCAGGTGCTCCTCACGGAGGCTCGTGCGGAAGCGCTCCAGGAACACCAGCGGCTTCTCATGGTACAGCTGGCCCAGGATGGCCACCTTCTCCTGCTCGGTCAGGTCAGGCTCGCCCTGCTGCTGGCTGCACACGGGCAGGCGGCTGGCGGCCACGGCACGCAGCATGGCACTCACTGCCGCATCCTCAACCCCAGGGGGGCCACCATTCGGGGCCTCTGGTGCTCCCTCTGCTGCTTTCACCTTGTCCTGGGGTCTGGGTGGGACAGGCGTCCAGCTCAGCTCCCCCCAGTGCCCAGTACTGGGCTCTGTGCAGCCTGTGGGGAGAGGGGAGATTTGTCAGTCCTGGGATGGGAAGGGAGGGGGCGGGGGAGGGGGGGGTGGGTGGAAAGGCCTAGATGCTCAGCCACTCATTTCACATTTACTGAGCACCTACTATATTCTGGGCACTGTTCAAGGTCCTAGAGATGCCACAGTAAGCACAAAGTTGACATTTTAGTGGGGGACACAGACAGTGAGAAATATAATTACTGAAAACATGTGACATGTTAGCAAACGTACAGTCTGTCGGGTGGTTCCAAGGACTATGCAGAAAAATAAAGAGGAAAGGCAGAAGGACTGGGGTTAGTGGGGGGCAGTCTACAATTTCAAATGGGGCAGAGAAGAACTTGCCAAAGAAGTGACATTTCAGTAGAGTCCTGAGGTGGTGAGGGACTGAGCTATGACAGTTTTGGAGGAAGAGAGTTCCAGGGAGTGGGAACAGCCAGTGCAAAGGCCCTGAGGCACAAGTGAGCTTGGTGTGTTTACTTGGTCCTTTACCACATTTATTGACTCACTCAATTCTTTGCCTTTTCACTTATTCACAAAATCACTAACACAAGCACTAACTTGTTCACTCACTCCCCATCTCCTACTCATTCACACGTTGATCCAAAGACAATATGGGCGCTGGTAACAGGAAAGCTGAACTGTAGGCAAATCTTGTCGAGAGCTGTTTCTCAGAAGTTGTGGGACTGGAGCAAGGCTGAGCAAGCAGGAAATAAGAGAAGACAGAAAATAGAGGCAACGCCTTCGGGCAGCTTGGCTGGTACAGGGAAGCGGGGGGGAGGGTTTACAGGTACAATGGGCTTCAGGGAGGGTTTTAATCATTGAGACCAGAGAAGACTGAGCCGGACCAGTCTTGCAGGGGATGTGCAGGAGGGGATGGGGCAGGGGCTGGAAAGATGCTCTGGGGGCTGAGTAGGCAAGCCTCGGGGCTGAAGAGCTGAGAGGTGGGGTCTCATCTAGTTCAGGTCCAGGGTTCTGGTGTGGGGCTTGGTCAAACTGTCCCTGAGACAGAGTCATGGAGGAGGAACAGGTCTTGGGATATGGAACGTATCATGGGCACAGGGGACATCCAAGGGGAGACATCTAAGAGACTGCTAGAGGCTTCTCACAAGAAAAGTGCAGGGCTGGGGCCAGAGTTGTGAAGCCCATGGAGCCAAGACAAAACTAAAGCCAGAGGAAATGAGAGGTCATGGGGAGGGCATGGGAGTGTGTGAGGGCAAGAGAAGAGGGGGCTAGAAAGAGGCCTGACTAGGGAAGAGGACGTGCCCGTGAAGGAGACCAACACAGGCTACAAAAGGGGCCCCCGAAAGACAGCTGCGCCTTAATTCCTGGAGGCTGTGTTACTGCATCTGGACAAAAAAATGGGTCTCCACAGATGCGATGAAGTTAAGGCTCTTGGGACTGGGAGATTATCTTCGATTGGGGCCTAAATGCCACAATGAGTGTCTGTAAGACAGAGTCCGAGAGGGAGCCTGGACATTTGCAGAGAAGGGCCACATGAAGACGGACAGAGGCAGACGCCTGAGTGATGTAGTCAGAAGCCAAAGAACACCAGGAGCCATTAGAAGCTGGAAGAACCTCCGAGGGAGCCCTCCACGGTCCTGCTGACACCTTGATTTTTGCCTAGTGGTACCAATTTCAGGCCTCTGGCCTTCAAAACTGAGAGAATACATTTCTGTTGTTTTTAGCACCCGAGCTTGTGGTCATTTGCTGCAGAGGCCATAGAAAACTGACAGAGGCTGAGCAGGAGGAGTCTGAGAGAAGGGAAGGAAATGGGAAAGACCAGTGTCACCGAAACCAAGGGACAAGGTTCAAGAGCGATGGAGGATTCAATGGCATTGAATTCTCTGAGCAGTCCAGTAGGAAAATCCCTAAATGGGGTGACTCTGTTGAAGTACTCAGGGGAGGTCATTGGCGGCCTTGATCAGAGCAGTTTCTGAAGGTGAAAGCCAGATGGCAAGTGGGTGGGAGGTAAGGAAATGGGAGACAGGTGTGGAGGACTCTCTGGAGAAGATACATGGTATCTGGAAGGTACATGGGATCAAAGGATAGACTTTAGGTTAAAACATTTTTTATTACAGAAAATTTCCAACATGCACAGATGTAGAGAAGACAACCAAAGTCCCCCTTACCCCCCCATGGCCCACCCCCTACCCCACATGGCCATTATCTAGCTTCAACAGTTACCAATTCTTGGCCAGTGATGCTTCAGCCAACTTCCCAACCGCTCCTCGCCCCATCTGGGATGACTCGGAAATAGCAGGATGAAAATTTAAGATGAGCAAAATGAAAGCATTTTTATTTTTTTTAATGTTTATTTATTTGTTCTGAGAGAGAGAGATTGAAAGAGCGTGAAAGCGGGAGGAGGCAGAGACAAGAGGGAGAGAGAGAGAATCCTCAACAGGCTCCGCACAGTCAGCTCAGAGCCCAACGTGGGGGTGGAGGGGTGGGGAGGGGGCTGCATCTCACAAAGCCTGAGATCACAATCTGAGCAGAAATCAAGAGTTGGAGGCTTAACCCACTAAGCAACCCAGGTGCCCCCAAACTAAAGCATTTTAGATACGGAGGGGAAGGCATCAGGAGAATAAAGAGATTGAAAATGCAAAGGAAAGGGGGCGGGGGGGGGGGGGGGGGGGCAGCACAAAAATGGATTAAGGACCTGAGGCGGCAGATGGAACTGCGGATTTGGGGGGAAGGGGAATGAGAATGAAATGGGGAAGCTGTTTGAGTCTCGAATAAGCAAGACTTTGCATGGGACAGGAGGAGGGTGAGCCTGGGGACAAGGAAAGGGTCAGTGTGACTTAGGGAAGGAGGTCATTTGAAAGGCAGGGTTGATTGGGACACTGGGACTTAGCCGGGACAGGGGACAGGTTTATGTTGACCTAAGAGTTAGCCTGGTAAGGAACCGGGCTAGCTTGGCACATGGAAACGGCTGGATTGGAACTTGAAAGAGGTTAATTTCAGGGGAGGGGATGGGGAAAAGCACTGCAGCTCGCAACAAGGGACGGATTAATCTGGACTAAGTGGCCACGCGGACTGGTAAACCCGAGAGCAGGTGTCCCCCTATAAAGAGTCCTCCTGCGAGCTCACGGGGAATCATTTCCCAGTGACACCATAGCCCCACCCTCCCGCCTCCTCCGAGTGGCCAGGACCTCACCTTCATCGGGTTCCCTCGCCGCCGCCGTGGTCGCCACGGTCTCCATCCTGATTCTCTATTACTTGTTAACAGCCGCGGCAGGCCCCGCACGCCAATTCTGGTCCCAAGTCCTCAGCGGCCACTTCCGGCCGAGCACACTCCTGGGTCCCGGTGCTCCGCCGAGTCCGAAACAACAGTTCCGGCCTGAAGGCGAACCTTCCTTTGCGCATGCGCGCCTCCCCCAGGTCCCGCCTCCTCGCAGCCAGGAAGGTTAAGGGCGCTGGAGTCAGGGGAGTCTCGTCCACTCTTCCTCCCCCACCCCTATCTGACCTGCTGCAGAATTGCAGTGTCTGGAGGGATCTGAACTACTGTTCACTGCTCGAACTTCAAAGTCTGGCATGCTTACTTTTTGGATGGATAGTTGAATGGCCACCTTCCAGAGCCTCTTGAGGGTTTATGGTCTGGCTTTGACTCCAATCCATCCCCTTTTTGTCCTTCACCACCTCAAAGAATAACTAAGCTTGTCTCTTGCTTCTGGCATCACAGCCAGTCCCTGGCTAGCAGGATATGGGCGGTGAGATCAGACAGAGCTTCCCACTGTGTTCCCAGGACCTTGGGAATTTGCAGATGTGGAGGGGGGACAACCTTGGTCCTGATCTGCTTGAGGTGTTGGGTAGGGACTCCTATTCAAGTGTGAGTTACCAACAAAGTAGGCAGACACCACGCAAGTGACTACCCTGAGTGGCCAGGGATCTTATGGGGTTGCCTACCCCAGCCTGGAGGGTCAGGGAAGGCATCCTTCCAGGAAGAGACACCCAAGCTGAGACCTGAACGATGAGCAGGACTTAAAACCACCGATCTAAAGTTCAGAGGAACAGCAAAAGATGAAGCCAGAGAGGTCACCAGGAGCCAGGCACACGGGTGGGGGTGGGGGGCTCATAAGCTGCACTAAGTAGCTTGAGCTCCTTTATCCTTCAGGTAGCAGGCAGGAGGGCATCAGGGTAAAGGACTAGAGGTAAGGGGAATCTGTGAGGAGGCTGGTGCAATGATCCAGACACTGGACAGGAGCAAGGGAATAACTTCCCATTGGCATCACCAGGATGAGGGATCTGGAGGCCCATTTGCTACACAGCAGATGGGTGGAGACTACACTTAAGAGATTACCCAGAGAGGTCAGCAGAGGGTGCTGTTGCCCTACATGTGGACCTGCAAGGAAGGGGATTTCCCAGATGGGGGCCAAGGCCCTTCCTTCTGCTCTCTGGGATAGGCGGAGTGGGGGCTGGGGTACTGTAGGGTCCCTTTTAGCCCAACTAGCCACCAGTCTTGGTTCCATCTCACATTCTAATGCCCCAGCCCCAATCTCAAAGCTGGTCAGCCTTCCTCCTGCCTTTTTGCAGCCTGTGTCCCATTCACAAGGCTCTGAGGTACTGTAAGGGAAGGGGCTGAACTGGCCACTCCTGTGCCCCAGGACTGTCCCTCACAAGGGGCCAGGAATACCACATGTCCAGAGGGGATAAAGGAATGACTCCAGTTGTTGGGAAAGGAGGATACTAGGCCACAGAAATGCAATCAGAGTCTTTTACCCTGGCTATTTTTAAAACTGTTCTCTTGTCCAGCTCCCCTCACCAAACTCTCCACCTCCGGCTTTCACAGCTGACCACTTGGTGCCGTCACCATTTAGAAAGTTTGTGTTACCTCTGGACTGGGAGACCCGTGAGAGTAGGGCTCAGGACTGCCTTGACCATGCTATATCCCCAGCACTGTCCAGAGTGAGGCACAGAGCGGGCACCGTGGAATTCCCACCGGCCTGGATCCAGAAGCATAGGCAGGAACGGTCCTAAGTCTAGCACCCAAGGCCGGGGCTGACGTGTCTGGGGAGTCACACCCAGTGATGACTCCCAACAGTCCACCCCTGGTCTCCATCCCATCAGCCCTACCTCATCCTCTGCCTAGGGACCTGCCATGCCTTCTACTCACAAATTCATGGAGAGATTTGGGACTGTCTGGTGTGAGAGGATCAGAAAAGAGCGGGGACCAGAGAACTACTTTAAAACTGAGAGCCCCAGTTTTAAGGGGGCATTCCCAGCACCAAAAATGGGGCCCAGCACATGAATCCCTCAACATGTGTTTAATAGATGAGCAAATAATGTCCCCCTGAAAAGGCCCCACCCCAATTAAAGGCCAACTGCAGTAACACTTCAGGGTTTCAACCCTGCTTCCTTCCTGCTAGGAGGTGCCATGTCATTTATTGAAAGAAAACAAAACAAAGCAAACACATTTCTTAATAAGTGCAGTTTGTTAAAATCCTGTTAAAACATATGGGTCAAGGGGAAGTAAAAATAATCAGAGGATCATTGTAGGAAAAACCTTTAGGTCTGGCACCTGGGAGACCTCTGGAGAGGAGGCAGTGGGAGAAATTTCATGTTCTGAAGGGAAGGAGCCCCCCAACCTCCCCTTCTTCCCTCTCACCCGCTTAATCCCACCAGAAACTACCAAGACGCCCGGAATAAAAGGTTTCAAGTTCAATAGTCACACTCTCTCCAAATACAAAAAGCAGTTACAATTCAACTCAACACAGAAGCTTGTGTGCAAAGTTACGGGAAACTGAGACATCGTATAAAAAGTTAGGTTAAAGATGATTCTATAGTTGTGTTTTGTGTTCTGTTTTGAGGGTGTGGCTCTTCCTCAGTCACCTGAACTCAGCAAAGAAATGGTTATCCTGATGAAGTATCGACAGCCACAGTAAAAACAGAGAAATTCTAAAAATTAAAAAAAAAAAAAAAAAAAAAAAAGCATAA